AAAGCAAGTTCGATATAACGCGGTTTCACCTATAACGTGGTAAGATTTTTTGGCTCCCAAGGACAGCCTTATATTGGGGTAGAGGTATATAAATAAGAGAGAAAGAAAATTTCTCCCAGGATGAGAGATACCACTTTTCACCTTAGAGCAAATTTGTGCTGTGGCTTTATAAAAACTGGAAGACAAGAATTTATGATGCATCCGATGAAGTGGGCATTCACCCACGAAAGCTTATGCTCCAATACATCTGTTAGTCTTAAAAGTGCCACAGGACTCTCTGTTGCTTTTTAAAGAATTTATGAGTTAGACTTCAAACCACTGTGGTACACACAGGCATCATTATAAGATAACAATATAAATAGACTTGTGTGAATTTAAAGCAAATTGTGAAAGACAAGGGGGATTGTGTGTACTCATGGGGGTGGATCCTCAGCCAGTGGAAATCTGGGTAGCTTCACTGTAGTCAATGGAGCTATCTTGATTCACACCAGTGGAGGTTCTGGTTCATACAGCTCAACAAAATCAGTTGAAATTAATGCAGAGTCTCACATGGTCTCAATGGGCTCTGGGTCCAGCCCAGATTCAGTAAATATGAACACCATATATAGTACATCTGTTTTACCAAAATCTTTAAATAGACATCTCTCTGAGGCAGGGATAGTCTTTTACTCAGTGTTTGTTCAGTACAATGCGGTCCTGATACTAAATGGGGTTTTGAGGTGCTTCTTTAATGCAAAGATTCAATAATTTTAAATACTCTTAAACTGTATATTAATTCCATTGCAATACCTAAAGCAGAGATAATACACTGGAAGTGAGCATCCAAAAACATTAGGTGGGTTTCAAAATCATATCCCTATAGTAGGGTTTGTTTGGGGTGTGTTTGCTTTTCCATACAAAAGCCAATGCCATTAAACTGACAAAATCTGTACACAGCCCTAGTATTGAGACAAAAATCAAAAATTGCAGATGTAACAGGGATCCCAGAAAGCCGAGGTAATGAATGCATTGGAGATTCTGTCTAAAGAATATGCATAAATACTTGTGAACCTATAAAGTGCATTTTTATTGCTATGATAGGGATATAAAGGAAAGTCAGATTCATTTAAGAATGTAAATGTTTTCCTTATTACTGAAGTTTGTGTCCCTATCAAAGTGGACTTACCATCAATTCCAGAGGCCAGAGTGACAGGAAATATTGACAGGAATCCTTAAAATGGAATTCCGCACATGCAGCTCCCTTGACTCAACACTAGCTACCCCAGGAAAAATAAATCACAACCAAGATTTGTGGGTCACTGCTATAATATCATAAACCTGGACAAACAGGAAATCGAAACCACCACCACCTCAAAAGACTGTAGAGAAACGGACAGAACCAAAAAACACTGAATGTAGAGGAAGCAAGGCAGGGCTTGGAATCTGAATGCAGATCCTGGCAAAAATCCGCAGCTTGGAATCTCTGTTGGGATAAGCCAACGTCTCCAGACTTTGGGAATTTGAAATGCAGTTCTGAATGTTGTGGCTTAGACTCCACTTGCATTTTAAGCATTATGATTTGGGGACGAGAACAATCTTCGGAGTTTCCTCAAAGGATTTCAAAAATATAGTAAAATTTTTAAAAACAATGGGATAAACACATTTGTCTCATTGTTTTAATTCTCTCTTCATTTTCTAAATTGCTTTTCCCCTTTCTATGCCTCCCACTCACTAGTTACCTTTTCATAGTCCATTTGTTTTCTGGAAGGCAGCAACAAGCATTTGTTAGCTCAGAAAATGTCTCTAGTCTTGTATTTCCCCCACTACCCTCAAGTGTATTAGCATCAGCTGCACATCTTTACCTAGGAAAGCTTCTGTTCTTTTTAATTTCTGTCTACTATGATGTCCTTTTGTTTTCTTTGAATTTTATCTTCAGTTAAGTTGCACTATATTTTATTTCCAATATTTCTGGTTATATATTGTAAAGTTTTACTAAGCAGTTCTCTCTGAGTTGGCTGGATGTTCTTCATTATTTCTGTGGGGCTCTAGAAAAAAAGCAATTCCTTTATTTGAGAATTCTGACATTTATTAACATAATAAAACTCTCAAGATGAAATTGCGGTTTTCCAGACAGTAATTTCATTTGCAGGAGAACTTACAAGGAATTTATTTTAAAGCCAGGTAAAACCTAAAATATGAGACATGCATGGAATGCAGACCCAAAAAAGTAGGAAATATATCATGAATTGAAAACTGTGTGGTTATCTCATACATGTTAATTAGGACAGAACAGGTAAGCTAAAGATCCAAACGTTCAAGTTTTCTTGTCCTGTATCCAAAAATGTAGACAGTTCCTGGGAAATGTATCATTTAGAAAGGAATAATTATGTTATTGCCAAGGTCTTATGAATATGAATTCTTTATACAGAACAAGGCTGCTTCAACTTTATGTACACAAACATTCCCATAATTGTAGATGCTGAATCCTACAGGGAGGTAAACCTCAAAAGAATCAGAAAACAATGTGTCCTACTTTAAGCATACATAATAACCTTTTATCTGAGGATCTGAAAATAGTTTACAAAAGAGAGGGAGTCCATATTATTATCCCCTTTTTCCAAGATGGTAAATTGAAGCTCAAAGACTCAGTGACTTGCAAGAGTTCCACTGTTGAGCGAATGACCAAGTTCTGAAGACAACACAGATCTCTCGACTCCCAGTCACCCACTCAAACTGCTAGGTCACACTGCTTCCCAAGATATCAGCCGCAGAAAAGACTATCCTAATTTTCCAAACATATTTGGTCAAGAAATCTTAGCTGCATTCACATCAGAGTACCCTATGATGAGAATGGCTGATCCAGAAAGTGAACAATACACTAGTGAGCCCTGATTACAATTTAGACTGAACCCTAACTTCTTAGACAACCTTTTGTTATGAGGTTTTACAGAAACCAGGGCCAATGTGGCCAATGCAAATCACATAGAAACTGTCCAACTAAATTTCCCTCTGTGGAAAGCTAATTGAAATTCTCCTTCACAGGTCACAAACACAGATGGATTTAATCTCACAAAAAGCTAACGTTAACAAAAGAAAAATATCCTATGTGATATTGCAAGACATGTCTGAATTTTCTGATTTCAACAAGGACTGGAAGAGGCAATAATGAGGAAAGCCACTGTCATTATGAAGAGCATTTATTATTTGTGTAACACCATAAGTGTACGTGATGCTTAACAAACATGTAAAGACAAGGTCCCTTCCCCTGAAGATCAGTTTACAGTCTAATTCTGACAGATACAATGAACAGGATACCTGTTCAAGGGAACAAGCAAATGGAGTCACCCTCTGAGGAGGAAGGGATTCAACAATAAGAAAAAGGTTTTAAGGGGATGTGGGAGAGTGGCACATATGAATTGTGAGGCTGTTCCAAGCATGAGAATATCATAAAGTAAGGCACAAAGCTGAAAGTGAGAGAGAGGCACGAAGGTTGGAGTTAAGAGAGTACTGGGAAGACTTTCAAGGAGCAGGCAGAGGAAATGAGATGTGAGATGTAGCTGTGGGCAAAATCTCTCATTATTCAAAATGGGTCTTACGTATCTGAAAAGGATGGAGAAACTACCCACTTAAGGAGTCACATGGCCATTTCAGTTACATCCCTCCACTGAGAATGACTCAGATCAAATACATTATGCTGTATATTGTAAACAAACCTTCAGCATGGCCAGATAATTCTGAAATGATGCCCTCCTGGGGAAGGGAGGAATAGGATCTGAGGAACTGAAAGGGGAAACAACTGTATACCCCAGCTGAGTCCAACTGACAGCTCCTTGCAAAGGGGCCTGGGAGCAAACCAGAAGGCTAGTGAGAGTTCTTTAAAAATCTTCTAAATACTTCATAACTTGTCTAATGGAATGATCTCCAACTTATCAGTCAAGAAAGTCTAAGCAGCTAGCCTATGTTACTCACTTTGGTATACCTGTTTCTTTAGATATGTTCTGATATTTAGTATGTGACTATAACAAATGCTTTAAGAACTCTCTGCCTCATATGTAAAGGTGAACAGGCATGATATCTAATAAATACGTCATGCCTTATACATGGATCTGTCTAACTCCCTTGCAAGCAGAACTGGTAAGGGAGTGTCTGGAACTATAAAAAAGTGAAGCCAGGAAACTGCAAGATGCGGCTTGGGCATCATTGAAAGTAGAGAAATGTCAGGGATTGGCTAGAGTTTTGGGTGAGGATTCAGGTCACTTCATATTTTATCCAGAGTGATTTCCCCATCCTTAATTAATTCATTACTTCAAGTTTCAAAATTACATTCCCAACATAAAGTGATTTGTGAGTTGTAAATCTTGTAGTTTTTTTGTTTGTTTGTTTCCTGTTGGAAACAGTGATTAGCTACATGGTGCAGAATAATTGACCATCTTCTACAGAACAGGTGAAAGTCTTTCCAATGCTGCTGGACCCATAAAGTCTTTAATAGTGCACAGGGTCTTGTGGGGACTGTCTGCTCTGAGAGAAACTTCACTTTATAGGCCTGAATTTGAAAGTAAACAATAATATATCACAAATTACATAAGTTTTTAAAGTCCATTTGCAAAACTGCAAGATTGACTGATGAGCTTGTCATTGGAAACTAGCAAACCTGATGTCAGAGGAAAGAACCTAATTCAACATATTAGTATTTCATACAACACCTTATGAATGTATACAGTAGTTCACCTTCCTTCTTAAAGTCATGTCAGTTAGCATTTTCAACCCTGGACATTAGTTGAAAAATTAAAATGACCTTGAGTGCCAACGCCAGTTGACCACATCTCTTAGAAGGACTACTGAGAATTGTTTTCACCTGTAGTCAGTCAGTATTCTCCCATCTTTAAACTCTTGGTGATATAAATAATTACCACAAATCAGGTATCAAATGGTTGCTTCTAGGACCTGTTAATGGTGGTAGTTTGTTGGCCAAACAGCTAGTAACTGAAAATTTGATAATTAACATACTATTTTAACTACCCATAGGGTTTTCATTCTAGTCCTAAAGACAGAAAACAGTCATTCAAATAAGGAACTGTAGTCAGGTGGATTCTTCCTCTGTCCACATGGTTCCAGTAGTAACTCCCCACCTGAGGATGTGATAATTTCTTCCTGAAAAGATAAAAGGACATTCACAGTATCATTCAAAGGTGCTTCAGCCTTCTCCTGTCCCCTCAAGAAACAAAACCACAGCAAAAAAGAAGATCCTCACCCAATTCCAGTAAGGACCAAACCTTTGGTGAGATGAGAAACTGGCTGCTATTGCCCAACTACACATCTTAAAAAATGATTATCTGCAATTCTAATAAGACACACAAATGTGCATCTGATCAAATGTACACTGGGATACCAGTAGCTCCTCTTCTCTCTCCAAGGTGTGGAGCTGCCAATACAAAAACCAGCTCCTTCTTCACCTCTGCTTTGTATAGGGACTGATATTCCCTCTTCCACACAGTCAGTGGAAAGGATCATGCTAGTTCCACATCCTTCTTAGTGCTCTGCATAATCTATGCCACTCTCTGCACATGCACAGTTGATAATTGTATGCCAATATAAAAAGAATGGAATAAAAGACTAAACCATTTTCCATAGTTAGCATAGAGACTGTTATTCTTTATTTAAACTAATAATAATAATATTGTTAGAATACAATAAAAATTGAGTGGGAAAATAAGAGTTACATAAATCAAGGGAATTCTGTTTTGTTATTCATTAAAAATGACTGAAACAATTTTAATGAGTCCATTAAAAATGACTTGGGGATTAGATATGGGGCAAAACCATAGATCAGAACATCCCAAAGTTAGGAATGCATCTGAATCCAAATTTAGATCTGAGTTATTGGGCTTGGATTTTCAAAGGTGTTCAGTTCTCAGTGAAACTCAATGGGAATTTGAGTACCTAACTCCTTTAGGCCCCATTGAAAATCCCAGTCTTGGTCCATGCCCAATCACTATGTTGGGTTGAAAATAAGTATGGAAATTTCCTATCCAAATAGAAACACTGTGGGAAAGTTATGAGCAAGCAGAGACAGGGGTTTAGTAGGGAAAGCCGCTCTCAACTTAATTATAATGTTTGCTGCTTTCAACACTATATTTATATGCAAAAATAAACCCTAGTGGTTGTAAAAACTCATATAAACATTAGATTGGCTAGTGCCACATGGTCTTTTGTGGCTGTAAAGTTGGGTAGTAGTTACCTGACCTGACAATCTCCCAACACCCACATTAACCAGTGTCTCCAAATAAAGACCAGAATAGGCAAAGACAAGGAAAGAAGGTCAAGCTCTGTATTATTGTCATTTCCTAGCCCCTTTAGTTTTGGTGGCTGGCTCTGAATTCTTACAGCTTTTGCTGTGGTCTTTGGGATCACAGTAAACTTTGGGCTCTGAAGATAAATGGAATCCACCTACAGTTCATCTTAACCATGACAAAAGACCAGGAACCTTCCTAAAAGAGTTTCATCTAAAATAGAACTGGGGCAGGATCTGGAAGAGAGTAAGTTAATTTCCGTTGTGCTGCTTTCATGTCCTCTGGCATTGTGTAGCTGGCCATTAAAAGGTTGTGGACGGCTTGAGAGCGCACTTCAGAGGTAAGGACAGACAGAAAAGTTTCATTGACAATGATATGGAAAACAGGAACTGACACTCAGGAGCAAACTGACCAGTTTTACATATGTTCACTAAGCCAGACAATTAAAAGAGAACTGGGTGGTCACTTTAGAAGAAGAGCAGCTTCTCTAATGAGACTGTCATAACCACACCTGTCGATTTTATCATCGGGGACGCTCTCCCCCCACACAGAAATATTTTTTCCTTATTGTCTGGGCTTAATAGACATTTTGCTTCTGACAGGTGCCCTTGTTCTCTTTGCAGATGAATGGGGTGTCTTGTGTGGTTATTGCCTATGATGGGCAAGGAGAAAACAAGGGAAATACAGGAACTTTTGTCACACTTGATTGCCCCCCAAAAGAGGAGGAGACATCATGGCTGCCAGAACGCCTCCCTCAGGGACTGAGTTCCACCACAGTTTCAGCCTGCAGTGTTAAAGTGCTAGCTGTGCAACTGTAAAAAGTAATATTCCCGGCCAGGAGTATCCTGAGAGTCCCTCTCTCCAATATACCGATCTAGATGATGCTTGTTTCTGTAAGAGGCAGTACAAAGAGATGCACTGACTTTGAAAAAGACAGCCAGAATGAAGGCTTCTTCAAATATATAAAATAAAATGGAGGTGTCTAGGTTCAGCTTTCCCCCTGCTTATCATGTGGGGTGTGTGTTCTATGTATAACAGGCTAGATCCACAGCATAGGCAGTACTGTGCCAACTTTATAACCCTCCCCCCCGTCCCTCTCTCCCCCCACACACACAAACTGAAGTTAGAACCAGCTTAGGGCTGCTCTACCTTGTGCCAGGGGATAATGGTCTTGAGGAGTTGTTCCTCTAGCCGGGATCACTGGACCACATTGCACTCTGGCCCCACCCCTCTTTGGAGGGGCAAACAGAGGTTGTGTGCCAGGCTCACATCTCTCCTATGCTAGTTAGATTCTCAGCTGCTGCATTAAGGCAGTTTTAAGACCCCTTCTTGTGCCATTTCTTGAGAAAGGCCAGGAATCTGTCCCAACCTATTTATGTAGAATATTACACTCTGCTCTGACTGCATGGTCTGTTTCTTACTTGCAATGTAAATTCCTTGAGGCAGGGACTGTCATGTTCTGCGGTGACCTCACTCGTGGGCCCGACTTCTCATCTCCATTAAACTGATATAAATCTAGTGAATTATTCCAGATTTACCCCAGTGTCACAGAGCAGAATTTCCCTCTGTTGTTCAGTATTATGAGTACTAACAAGAGGTTCACTGGGGGAACGAATAGAGTGTGTGTAGGTGTGGAGAGAGCATGCAGAGGTGCTTCAAACTGAAGTTCATGGCATCTTAAGAAAGGCTTAGAGGAGAGGGAAGGGAAATTGGGAGCAGGAGAAGGGAAATTAGGGGAAGAAAAAGAAAGCTCCTTACACGTTGTCTGAGGAGAAATGGGATATGGAAATAGTCGTAGAGGAGAAAAAATTCACTGGAATGAGAGTGAAACAAAGAAGAGAAAAGAGGAGAGGGAACAATACGGGTGAGGAGAAAGAGAAAAACAGAAGAAAAATTGATGGAGAGTCACACATGAGAAGGTAAAAATAACTTGTTCCATCAGAAATTGTGCTGCTTTTTAGTCACAGACTGGACCATAAGAAGCACAACTTCTAGCAGAGCCAATTCCTGGCGATGTAGAGTTGTCAAAGGCTCATGGTAAACTATTCTGAGAAGAGGGATTTGGATAACATAAGAAATTAGCCTTAGTCCATTCCTAAAACTGAACCCAGACTATTCTTCAATTTGTTTGACCCTCACTCTCCTAATTGTGTGTGCTTTTGCATTTTGCGGCTCCAGGATCAGAGGCTACAGTGCTGAAATACCATCAAAAGCCCTTTTCTTGTAATATTTCCAATCCAATTTTGCAGACCAAAGAAGCTCAGAAAAACTGTTAGCTCTGTCAGTCCCTGTTAGTGCATCTTTTGGTCCTTCAAAGCAGGCACTGCATACAAAGTTGGTTAGAAAGGGACACAAATGGATACTGAAGATTTTGAAAGTGGAAAAAAATCCACTGGTTCACTTCAGCAGAGAAACAAAACTCCAGGTGTATGAAGTTTAATTTGTATATTCTGACTAGAGCCACTGTACAGTAGTTTAGCTTTTCACTATGGTTATTTCCACTTTCTAGGTTGGTTTCAAATTACATGGTTCCTCTTTAATTTATTAATCTGCTGAGTTCAGTGATTGATCTTTCCACAGTAAGTGATACCTTGTGAAAATCAATAAGATCCGTGAGTGTCGCATGCCGGTTGGGATCCACGCCCAAGAAGCTGTAGAAATCCCCCGAAGCATCCACCAAAAAGTGTTTGAACCCGCTCTGTTGGCGATAAGACAAGGCATAGCCCCAGATTTTCTCACTGACCCGCACCAGGAATGCTCCTTCAGACTTGTTCATTAGCAGCTCTTCTGCCTCCTGGCGGCTAATAATACCTGCCAAGAAGAAAGAGGCCACAGTGATCACATAATGGGCCCTGAAGAACGTAGTAATTAAAATGAAATAGACATGTATTAAAGGGTGGAGGTGAAGCTGAAATGTGCAAGGCCTCTCAAGTGTTCAAGCACTTACAGTGGAATGTGATTGTGGTAGGAGGTTACAGCTCAGGGGACTCAGTAATTATTACCTGTCTTTGATGGAATTCTGCATGCTTAATTTGTTACTTATGTGATTATTAATAATTATTTCCACTTGTTTTACCACATCCCCACTGTCCTCACAGTTCTCCTAAAGATGTGCACAAAATACAACTCATAGAGAAATAAATTAAATAGAAAAGGTCATTTAGTCTCTGGATTCAGTATCTACATTCTAAGCCACTGAAAGAAAGGAGATATCAGAATAGATAGAGCACTGGAATGTCCAGGGGTTGCAGTTTCTGTATCATGGGTACTCAGGGGCTATTGGAAATTATAATTATACTTTTCATCAGGTAATACAGTACCTCTGATCTGATCATCTCAAAATGTTTTGAGGTTAATAATTAAGGCAATCTTCAATCTAGCAGAGAAAGGTATAATGCAATCCAGTGGCTGGAAGTTGAAGCTATTTCCAGTCTGGAAATAAGGCGTAAATTTTTAACAGTGAGAGTAATTAACCATTGGAACAATTTACCTAGGGTCATGCTGGATTGTCCACCACTGCCCATTTTTAAATCAAGATGGGAGGTTCTTCTAAAAAATCTGCTTTAGAAATTATTTGGGGGAAGTTCTATGGCCTGTGTTATATAGGAGGTCAGACTGGATGATCACAATGGCCCCTTCTTGTCCTGGAATCTCTGTCTGTACAAAACACCACTTCCAGACTCCTGAAGGGTTGCAATGCCTTTCAGGAGACAGGGAGAAAGATTGTGTCCAAGGAGATGCAATCTCCCTGGGGCTGCTTGGTATACAGGAGGGTTACATGCCGCACCATTCAGTAGTATTATGCAGACTGCTCTCCTTTGTGGGCTGGCTCATTCCAAAGGCCAATATGGAGGGGAATGAGGTTATATCTTTGTCTTTCCCCCTACTCCATTATTGAGCAATTGGCTCACAGCTAGTAGAAGTCTCTTTGCTAGCTAATGACCGCTAACTTATTCAGAAGATTCAAGAAAGATCAAGGCCTGGGTTTTCAAAGCCACTTGGCGGATCAGATTAAAGTTAATGGAAAATAAGTGTCCAAATCTGCCTGGTAGCTTTGAAAATCTCACCCCCAATGGGGAAGTTCTGGAAATATTTAGTTTCTTTTAGTTTAGAAAGTCCTTAACTTTCTTTAGAGGACAAGGGCCATATGTTATCTCAATCAGGGACTCTAAACTGACATTGTTGAGAGTTCTGAATGTAGACAGAGAGTAATATAGAACCCTAACATACCCAATGAAAGGTACAGTCAGAAATGTCCTCATAACTGGGCTATGCCCTGTCGTAATAACTGGGCCTACAAATTTACTCTAATTGTGATCTCAACTATGAAAAGTTGAATGAAAGCTCATAACGTATCATAATAACCTATAATAAATGTTGATGGGAAAAGGTGCAAAAAGGAGACAGAAAGACTGAGTTAGTCCAATCAAAAGGGACTGCTGATATAACTCAAGGACTGTGTTAAGATCATGCCTGGTAAACAAAACAAGTGTGGGATCAGAAATCAATGAACCAAAATTGATGTGTTGGCAATCAGGCCTAATTGATGCACAAAATAATGAGGGGATGGGCTATTCCACCCATCACTTCCTTTGAGGTACCTCAAAGAGAGACTCTAATGGAGTGTGATACTGACTGACTGAAAAGTGAGAGAAGGGGAAAAAGCGAGCTTCACCATCATGACTTCCAGCCCTACCGTCTCCTAGGACTCTAGACCTTCTTAATCCTAATCCTGAAAGATTTTCTGACTAGAGAGAGGCAGATAAATGACATTGACGCCTCCACCAGCTTTGGCTAGATCCCAAATGCCACCTGGGATGTAAGACTTCGTCCCCACACTTCACCCCAGGCATCCTTTTCCTTCCCTGCCTTATTTCTTCTCTTTCCTATCTCTCTTCTTTTTCCTTCTGTCTTACAAGTCTGTCTTAGCAGGTCAAGACTGCATATTTTGCAACACTGCTTGAGCTTGGGATCAGAGAGAGCAACTAAATGAAATGCCCTAAACTGCCTGATGGTGGCATGAATTTGCCAGGTCTCAGAGTGGCTAATAAGACCAAGTGCCATGCCTGTGTGTTTTCCAGCAGTGAGGTTGCAAGTAAGAGTCAACACCAGAGACAGAAGCTGCATTTTTTATCTTTGCTGTTATTTTCTTTCCCCTTTTGTGTACATATGTCTGCTTTTGTCTTCTAGGAAACAGGATCAGATTTTAACAACTCCAGCCCATCTCTACTAACTTCTTCTCTTTTTTTTTTTAAATCAATTCTGGATAAGCACATGACAAAAGTAGTAATTTAATGTACGTGCATCATGCAACTCTCTTCTTTGCGTATAATATTCTAAACTTGCTCTAATCAACGTATGATAAGTCTATCAAATTATAGTCTATAGCTATGGCTACATTATGAGCTATGGGCATGATGCCAGCTCATGTAGACATACTTGTGCTAATTTTCATCAACCTAGTAATGTACTTGGGGTAGAACAGAGAATAGCAGCACAGGCCAGCCATGCCGAATACATGACCACAGGATTCAGCCACGTTTTTACCTGGCAGAGCTAACCCATGCTGCCACTTTTGGCACACTATTGTAAGGACCAAGGAGTAGGCAGTTAAGTCTAGTGATCAAAGCCTGAGTCGGGATTCCAGCCAAGAGTTGAAGCCCAAGTCAGGAATCACGCCAAGGGTCAAGTTTGAGTCAGGGGTAGGGTGGAGGAGCAGGGATCTGGAGCAAGGCAGGAAAGCAGGAACCTGGCATGGAGAGGATCTGGGATAAGGAGGGTAGGAACGAGCTGGAAGGCAGGAAGACAAAGCACAGGATTCAGGGGACTAAGTGACAACCAAGCAGGAATCGACCTACATGCTCAGACGACTTCCTTAGCCTCTTTTTGGCTTAAGTAGTGCATCCGAGGCAGTCGGTAGGGCCAGACATCTCCCCCAATAAGGAGTTTCGTAGGAGGAGCACTAGGTGAGCTAAAGCTCTTCTAGCTCTCTTCTCCACTGGTTACAGGGAGCTACTGGGTGATAAATGCAAAGTAATGCAAATTGGAAAACACAATCCAAACTCTACATACAAAATGATGAGGTCTAAATTAGCTATTACCACTCAAAAGATTTTGGTGTCATTCTGGATAGTTCCCTGAAAACATCCACTCAAAGTGTAGTGTCAGTCAAAAAGCTAACAGAATGTTAGGAACCATTAGGAAGGGATAAATAATAAGACAGAAAATATCAAAATGCTACTATATAAATCCGTGGTATGCCCACACCTTAAATTCTGCATGCAGTTCTGGTTGCTCAATCTCAAAAAGATATATTAGAATTGGAAAATGTACAGAGAAAGGTATGGACCAGCTGCTATATGAGAAAATAATAAAAAGACAGACTGTTCAGCTGGCAAAGCAACGACTAAGAGGGACATGATAAAGGTCTATAAAATCATGAAGGGTGTGAAGAAAGTGAATAAGGAAGTGTTATTTATGCCTTTGCATGACATAAGAACCAGGGGTCACCCAATGAAATTAATATGCAGCAGGTTTAAAACAAATAAAAGGGGGTACTTCTTCACACAATGCACAGTCAACCTGTGGAACTCATCCAGGGGATGTTGTAAAGGCCAAAAGTATAACTGGGTTCAAAAAGGAATTAGATGAATTCATGGAGCATAGGTCCATCAAGGGCTATTAGCCAAGATGGTCAGGAATGCAACCCCACACTCTGGGTGTCCCTAATGCTCTGACTGCCAGATGCTGGGACTGGATGACAGGGGGTGGATCATTCGGTAATTGCCCTTTTCTGTTCATTCCCTCTGAAGCATCTGGCATCGACCACTGTCGGAAGACAGGATATGGGGCTAGACAGACCATTGGTCTGACCCAGCATGGCCATTTTTATGTTCTTATGATTAAGACTCAGAAAACCTGGGCTCTATTCCCAGCTCTGCCACTGACCTGCTGTGTGACCTTAGACAAGCCATTTCACCTCTTTTTTTTCCTTCACCTTTTGCCTATTTAGACTGCATGCTCTTTGGGGCAGGGACAATCTCTTATTGTGTTGGTACTTTGCCTAACCCAATGGGGCCCCATTCTAAGTGGGCCTGGTAGACTTTACTCTAGTATGTCGTAATAGTAAGAACATGCTTAAGTGCTTGGCTAAATGAGGGCTACAATATGAGAGCACTAGCCTCCTTTCTGGAGAGTACTGTATTCTATCACTAAACATGCAAACCAGGTAGACATATACATCTGTTTAGAAATGACATGCAAATGATCAGCCTAACAAGTCAATTAATCCATTTCACAAACTCAAAAGAATGTTGTCAGGGAGGAAAAGAGAAGTGTTCAGATCTGAATTGTTAATAATTACTCTTGTTGAACAGTTCAAAGAAAGAATAGTGCCACTGTGGATCTATGTGACATATATTACGTGAAGTTACATCATTAGATCCTAATATAAGATGCTATGTGCCAAGAATGACACAGAAATTAGTTCTGAAATCAAACTATTTGTTGAGGCAAAGATCCAATCCTCGGTCATATTGCCCTAATTTGAATATAGAAACAAAAGGATTTAAAGGTGATTAGAGCCTGGTTCGCTTATAAACAACAGTTACCTCTACTAGAAAATACACAGATAAGGTACTCTTATAACAATCTCATATTGTGTATGTTGCATCTCCTTCCAAAGGCTGGCCTACTGATGGACAAAAGCCTACTTCTGCTACCAGTTAATGGAGTTCCTCCATTAATTCAAGTGGTCAAGGTCTGTGCTGTGATGCTGCAATTCCCAGGTTTAAATCCTGCTGATGACACAA